GCCTGGTGACCGGAGGACCTCTTGTACGGTATCCGCGCTCATTTGCTCAAAAATCAGGCCCTCGGCGTTGCTGTCCCCTCTCGACTTCCGATGAACTGTTATGGATTGTTTTCTCAAATTTCACAAACGAGACAAGCTCCAGATCTTAAACGCAAGGTGACAGGATTGGACCCCTCCTCGTTTATTTCTTCGGCTGACGCCTTCCTGGCGTCTTCATTTGTCGCGTTGGTCGGACTCGGGAATTCTGTCACCGCAATCAATGACGCACGCGCTGTGTGATTGCAAAATTTCAAGGGTTGGTCACTGGAAATCAGGCAATGGGCTCCTCAAGTAAAAAATCAAATGATTTGTAGTTGTTTGAAATTTTGTAAATTCCATATTTGAGAGGAAACTATTAAGTGAACTGAGCATGCGTAAAAATATCATTGGCTTCTAAAATGAACAGCAATCAGAAGAAATATGACCAAATTACCTAAGCTGGTACAATACATGTGTATGAATGGGAAAATTAAAATTGGCGGTTTTCGCACCACACGATGAATTTGGACCACATTTTGCAATTAGAAACTAAAATTTTAGGCTCATTCATAAAAGCAAGCACCTACCTACATAGGGATACTTTTGGCACACTCGCTGTTTCAAAACTGAGCCAGAAATTTTAGCTAATTGCAAAATGGAGTCCATTATTTTTTTCCGTTGGTTTTCACTCCAATGCATGGATTTAAGTTGAATGGCAAAAGTACACACATTGAAGCCCATATTTATGCGTTTTCCCATTTTATGTTTTCAGGGGGAATAGGTTTCAGAGAACAACATAAAAACACAAAAAACAAAGATTTTCTGGGTGAAATAAACTTTTAAAATTGAGAGCGGCATGTCAGAAATAAACATTTTTAACCCTCCCTGGAGATTTTTTTCCTTTTATCATAGAATCCCTTTTTTTCTTTTTTCTTAAGCTATACGATTCACCATCGGCGGTTTCAAATCGCTGGCGGCGCAACGCAATAAGAGGCGAATAAATACTGAAGCTAATTGCTGTCAAGCGGGTAAGTGTGATAAAGTAAGCACCATGCAGTGCTTCCGCAACTTAACTCCGGAACAAAAGAATCGCTTCTGGAACTACGTGTTTCCAGTTCCCCTCGTATCACACATCACCCCTCTAACTGTGACGGAGGGCTGACGCGGAGGGCATTGTGTGCTTCTTACCCTCCAAAGCTTCCAAATTCTAATCAGCCGTATTAACCACAATACCCTTGTTGTCGTGTGGTTGATGTCTGTCCCATTTAATTGCTCCGCACAATGTCACAGTTTTGATAGACCCTTTGTCAGCCTTTTGACAGTGATTTCCAGCGCGACATCTTTCAACTTGTGTATTTGTTTGTTCAGGCGTTATCAATTATCATTACTTTATTATTAGTCACCCTTACCTTCACGGGCCCCTGCCACTCTGCCGTATTTATATTTATTTTTAACACTATTTAAGTTCTGTAAAAAATAGTTCACATTCGGGCCTTTTGTGCAAGAATAAAAAACGAGCTTTCCAGACTTACCGCGGTGTGTCGTTTGAATCAAGGCGAAGCATTAACGTTGGAGAGTCACTGAAGCAATACATATAAGTGTCATTGCATTTTACGCTGATGCGTGTCATAGATAAGACTATACTGACATTTTGTCGTAACATTCTTTTGTGAAGGAGCCGAGGGTCTATCCGAAAGATTTCCTGCCGCAAGGACGGAGTTTTTTTGATACTCTCAAGAGGGCTCAAGTGTCAGATTAATGTTGTAGCCACATGAATTAACTGATTACTAAATATTTAAATCCGAAAAAAGAATCTCCCGATTTCAGCTTCAGTGAACATTGATCAGTTGCACAAGAGCTTCCCACATTTATCAGACTCGTCAATTCGAGGTGCTCCATTTTGTACACTTACTGAGGTTCAATACCAAGATCCAGAAAAAAGTTCCAACATTTTTCTTCGTAACAGATGCTGAATTTTTAACTCAGTATTAGGCAATTTTACTTTGATCCTTCATTCATTAATTTTTTCTCTGGCATGTAAAAATGGGTCAAAACGATCACGTGAAACAAAATATATTCCAAAACTCTGGAGCATCAGGAAACTACGATTTATCAATGTTTCTTTCGTTTGTTTGTTCGCATGCTTTTATGAAACACTCGTCTTTACAAGCTCTTTAGTTTTTTTTTCATTTTTGCAGGTTTTATATTTTAGAAAAATAAAATATAATAAAACAAAAGCTAAAACCCACCTGCTCAAAAATTAATGTATCAGTAGGTAATATTCGAGCAAGTAGTTATAGTTTGTGTTGTAATTTATTTTATTTTTATGTTATACAGTTCTTTTGCGGAATAAGTTTGTACCTTAAAAAAGTTATCAGCAACATGCTAAATGCAGAAAAAACACATTTGAACATCGTCTTCAACGAGTTTACTTTGACCACCCGAATTGAATCCTCATAGCTATACTTGATACCAACCCTGGTAAATAGACTACAGCCGGCTGTAAGATTTCCAATAGCTTCTATAGCCGGCTACAAAATTTCTTGTAGCCTTTTATAGCCGATGGCGATTAAGCAACAGCCAGGCAATAAAGTGTATGCTAAACGTTACTAATTACGGATGCTAGGACTTAGTGAGTTTTTGGAATACTGCTCTCTTTTTGGGCCGTAGTATCTTGATTTTATTTTGCGAGGAAAGCTCCGTACTTTCGATGGATGCCTGCCATTACTAATATAGTAGAGCGCCTTCAGTTTCGTATGATACTGTGCAATACCTCTAGTGTGAAATAGTTGCTTCAAGCGCCGTGGCAGGCGGGCAGCCAGCTGGAAACACGCATTGGCGCCTACATACCTAACAGGGATACTTCACGCGTTGCGCAATGCGTGAAGTATCCCTGTTAGGTTTGTAGGCACCAGTGCGTCGCCGCTCCGCTTTGTGCTAGGCTCTAATATTTAATCTGGCGGAGTCAGCGTTATTCAACTCATGATTTTGAAATGTTTTGCACATCCTGTATGGATTATTCTCATTTTAATAGATGAAAAAAAAATATGTATTAAAGGAAAATATAATGTGTGTTTTATAAATATTAAGGTGGTTCCGTATCAAACTTAATGATTTCCAAAGCACACGAATTTCTACACAATTTCTTATAGCCTTTTATAATCTCTGGCGAAAAAGCAACAGCCAGGCGACAAAGTGTAAAGCCCGGCGATAGGAACTATAGCCCGGCTGCATACTTTTTTATCGCTTCGTATAGCCCGGCCGTATGATTTTCTCCGCATTCTACAAATCTGGCGGCAAATCTAGGGGGCGGCAAATTTTGCAATTTTTTTAAATGTAGGTATAAATAAAATCGGATTTAGAAAAAATATTACAAACGAGAATTGCTACAAAATCTCTCATTTCCTGAGAGCATAGTAATTTCTTATTTTGTCGTCTTTCAGTGATACAACTAGAGACAGCACCTTTAATTAGTCGAGTTAAGCGAGAAACCAAACAAACAATTTGACCTGGAACGGCGCGACTTAGGGAGAAATGATGACGAGGACTTGAGATGAAAAGGAGAAGCCCTCGGCGCGGCAGTCGGCTTGTAACACATATTAGCGCCTACAAGACTGCACGAATACTTCACCCATTGCATCAAACACAGAGCGGTTATTGTGGTCAGCGTGAAACGGATAGCGCCTACAAGAATGCATGAATACTTCACACATTGCGCCTAATACAGTGCGGTCAGCGTGAAACGCATAGTGCCTACAAGACTGCGTGAATACTTCACGAATTGCGCCAAACACGATTAGCACGTCCGGCGCGGCGGCGGAAGTTAAAATCATTCAACCAAATTTTGTGTTTGTTCTTTCATAATTTTTTCGTTCATTTCTTATGAATGGAAGCCTTGTCCATCAGAGATAGGTTTACGAAACTTGACCAAATTTTGTGTTTGTTCTTTCATAATTTTTTCGTTCATTTCTTATGAATGGAAGGCCTTGTCCATTAGGTTTACGAAACTTGACTTTCGCGCAAAGTTCCGTGACCTTTTGCTAGTAGTGTTGACAGAGCTTCCCCAAAAAATGTGTTCAACACGAGTAAACGCGTCTTAAGCACCCCTCCCCCGCTGGCACGTTCAATTGATGGTTTTTATTTATGTTTCAAAACTAATGAAAAGGGGGCGGCAAGTAGGAAAATTCAGCCCTGATCCCGAATACAAACCTCCGCATCTCCCAGAGAAGAAATTTTTGTGAACATTAATGAAGAATCTTCGTCTCTCAAAGAAATTGTCTCGAATTGATATGTAAATGGAAAAACCACGAAAATTTCATGTTGTAAAGTATCGAGCATGCCTGGTTTCAAACACACCGTGCGTCAGGAGTTTTCCTTCGCCCGTCCAACCCTCCATCTTCATCCTTTCGGTCTATATTTCCAGCTTTTCGTGATTCCGGCTTAAATGGTAGCCATATCCGCTACCTGAAGCGTGATCGGAATTTCTAATCGGGACGCCCGGTCGGTTTCTATATAAAGGATGTTGAACAATCTGAAAACTCTCGGAAACCTGTCTCGTAAGTCGCAACATGAAAGCTGGCATGTGTGTCGGCCGCGCGGCCGGCGTCGCCATGCTGGTGTGAGATGCCCGCGGCCGCGAAGGGGCCGAGCCGGAGAACAGGTAGAAAAGGCAGGAGATGAAAAGAGATACTGCAGGTGACTGCGAACGAGAGGAGAGACGGCGAGAGAAAGAGAGAGAGGAGAGTCTGTTTTCTAGCGGGTTGTCATCTATCAATGTAGCGGAGTCAGGAGGGGACTACTGATTAAGTCCAATAAGACTTGGCAGCATAATAAGGAGGGATGTTGACGGCACGGCTTCAAAGCTGTCATCATCATTTGCGCCCTGGGTGGTATGAGCTGACAGGCTATATTAGCACAGTAATACTGAGGGGTGGGGAGCGCGACGCTAGCGCTCCTAGCAGCCATCCGCGGCAAGCTCTCAGTTCGCGTCTGCGGAGCTCAGTCAAATACGAGACTGTTCCCGCGCTGGATCCACGTTGCATCGTTCCGTGATCCGCTCTACTTGCGATTGTGTTCTTCGAGGATACCGCTGGTGTTTCACCGATTTTTGTGTGTTTATCCGAAAAAGAATCGCCTCTCAGTTTTTCTCTATGATTTTGTTGTTATCGTGTGTAATCGATTCTTAAATTATATGTGTGTCTCCTGGAAATTAATGTGTGTTTACAAGTGCCAACTGAATTGTGTACCCAAAGGAATACCTAAGTGAATCTCACGGATACCTCTATTGGATACCACATCGATATAGTTCTTCCTCATGGTTGTTCTGGAATCAGGCGGTATGCATACCAGTCCAGGGAATCAGTACCTTCAACCGGATTATCTTTCACCTTTGCCGACAACGGTGTGTATTATTACTATTTCCATTTATACGCAAATCGTTAATTCTGAAACATTTTCTCACCTCGTAGTTTAGCAGATCGCAGCATTTATAAAGGCATATGTTACTAATTTTACCGACTTTTGATTCTCATCTCATGCCATAATTTACTAACTTCCCTTCTAACCATTCCTAACGCCAAGTGCGTCTAAATACCCGGCCCAAGGGATCATAATTTCCATCCCTATCTCAGACTGAAGTAAGTCCATACACAACCATCAATGACATTTATAGTGATATGCATTTGCCTTTTCCACTTTTACTTAAATTACGCGAGTCAGAAATACCTGCTGTATAATTTGCTGTCAGTTAATACGACCTAAACTGGATTTTTACTTAATTTGGGTCTGTAAAGTCTATTAAGATTCTTCATAATTCTAACGGCAATATTATTAAAATACGGTTTGTCGCGGGAGTTTTTCTGTACGTTTCAGAATTTTTGAGTAATCTGTTTGAAGCTGCGATTGGTTGGTCGGCAAATACATTTATTTACACATATGTAACGTTTGTGATAGCTTGCATATGTTACGCTCCATTGGCGGGATAGCCAGTCCGTTGATTGGCCAAAAGCCTATCTATGTTACGCTCTATTGGCGGAATGGCCAGTTCGGTAATTGGCCAAATGCTCTCTACCAATCCGCGGACTGGCCAAAAATCCAGCCATTCCGCGGATAGGTTGTTTCGCGTAACACATAAAAAAGCTCAGTTTGGGGATAAAAACCTCAAAATGGGCTCTAATGAGCATAGTAATCTCGATTATCGAGATTATTTGAACTCGAAGCCATGTTCTTCGAATTTATCTTGGAAAATGGAGAAGTATAGAATAGAAAATAAGATGACTATAAACCTTATCGGTGTATAGCTCAGATCCGCGCTTCTTCATATCCTTGTTTTCAATTAATTTTCTTCAGTTTATTTGTTTTGCCCCGCTGCTACTTTATTCCTTTACTAATTTTCTTTACTAATTATCATTCCGCATTTAAAGTAAATACTAAGGTGGGGTTTTCCAATTTAATTATGTCGTAAAAAAATGAACTAACTCGTAAAAAATAAAATCACCAGTTAGGACGCGATCTGAGACCACTACTTTTTTGCTGTATTTTTTCGTGACGAAGAAGGATCTCAGACGGTCGACCTGGCTCCCGTGATTTTAGTGCGCATGACCGGCACATCTATTCCTAACGCCATTGTGTAATTCGTATTATTCTCACTAATTCATCCCCTAATCGAGGTTTCTTAGTTACTTTCGTCAGTACCTAGGATTTACATTGAACGTAAGTTGTGGATTTACTATTTATGTTCTATTGAGGTTTTAATTGCATCGCGCATCGTTGGCATCTAACTAAACCTTAGTCATCATTGTATATCTTTTTGGCACTCGATAATTTATCCTTGAATCCCAGTCACTCTATGATGTAGCTTCATGCCATTTTGGAAATTTTATTTTTCAAAGCAAATCTTAAGCTCCCAAAGTTCTCCTCCGTCGCGGTAATCCTCGAGTAGCGCGCCCTATCTCATAGTGAAAATCTACCTTCACGGGTTTATTTTACGTCTCTCTGAAACAAATCTCAGGCCGTGAGAACTGCACCTACGGGCTGCACATATAGACATACCGACCGTTCCGGGCTCAAGAAGCCGAAAGTTTCGGATGCTAGAGACGTAGTTTCGACTGTTCGGGGTTTAGAAACCGGAGCAACGGGTACCACGCCCGGGACTATCAACCTCAGAGCCCGGAACGGACGGTTCTTGTAGCCCGTAAGTCCGGCTTCCACGACTGGAGTTGTTTTCATTGCTCCGAATTGTAATCATCTAAATTATTATACATTCAGTCGCGGAGAGTTCGCCTTCATTTCAGATTGATACTATTTTACGCCTTTCGATTCGAACCAATTGTCGGTTTAGTATCAATTAGGAGCGTATTCACTTTTCAACTCTGCAAAGCTTCTGCTCTACATAAGCCGTGAAAATCGACAACTTGCAATTATTTAGCAGACACGTGTGTTTTATCAACGACACCTATCATAAAGAGCCTACAGCCTCCGGACCTCTCACCGTTTCAATTTTTTTCTCCAAAATGTAAATTAACCTTCAAACTGCGTGTTTACATAGATACATTGTGTCTAAGTCACTACCCACATCGAGTCCCTGCGGAAACAGTTGGTAACCTATGCATCATTTTGAACTGATCTCTTACAATGGCATTGTCACGCTTTTGAATCGAATCTGCAACGAACTTACCTGGAAAACTGTGCGTCTAGTTTATTCTCCTGAAGTAATCTTGGTTTTCGTAACAAGTAAAAAGTAGATCCATCTCTCAAACAAGTGCCCAACAATTATTTATATTCATAAATACTGTTTCGCTACCCCCAATCAAGTCCTAAACGGTCATTGCACACCGAATAGCTAAATCGACTGTCACTGTCATCGTGGGCCATGTTAATCTTAATTTAGGGTTCTTAGAGCAAAATTTCAAGAACGAACAACAAATTAACGTCTAACAACTAAAGTTACAAATCCATTTTCGATTAGAATCACGAGCCTACTTAAAAGATATATTCTTGACGAATTGTATGTCGCCAGCATATGAGTTTGTGACATTTAGTCGCCGCCGCAAACCACAAGATGTAACGAAAATTTCCTTAAGTTTATCTCGTTTAAAATTTACCTGTCAGCAGCTCATCTGTGAGGATACCAATGATATTATTCCTACGTCATTTTATTTAGGTTTTTCATCCAAAAAATGAAGGATTTCAGGAGTTTTTTGCAACGTTGCAAGTTCATACACTTACGTGTTTTACAAGTGAAGCTCCATTCAGCGTGAGCATGTGAATAGGTACCTACAGGCAGTAAACCGAGCTCCTGAGAATCCCATGGCATTTTATTCTGTGAAATAATAATAGTATTCTTTAAATCCGTATTTAATCGGAGTAGGTGCATCAAAACATACGGCAGTCTGTTCACATTAATATTTCAAAACTTGGACTAGCTCAACGGTTCATTTTAATTTCACGTGACAACTCGAGTCTTTAGGGCAATCGTCTTCTGGCACATTAAATCAAAGAGGAGACAGACGATTACTGTGTCATTCAGTGGCGTGGCGTGAATTGCGATGTATCGATTGTTATGCTATTTAATCCTATGGTAAAGAATCAATTATTAAGGTGTTCGCTGCGAACACCCTGTCTATCGATCCTTTTCCATAGGTTTAAATGGCATAACAATCGATATATCGCTTAGCACGCCACGCCATTGGTGTCATTGCGACTAATGGAGAGCACATCGCCAAATCGGATTCCCTCTAATCACTCTTCATTTACGCAAGAATGATAGTCGAATTCAATATCACTAGAATTAACCAGGCAATTAGTGAATGGCCTGTTCGCCGGCCGAAAATTTCGTTTGGGAACTCCAAGCCCTCATCATCAAGTGGAAATTTTGAAAGGTTGTCACCCGTGATAGATGGCGTAGTGCAGCTCGCAGGTATTCGCGGCAGAAATCGCCTGATTGCACATGCAAGATTAATCATCCGTCAATGACCTAATTGTTCAGCAACGGTAGTTCGCTGGCCTGACATCGGGTTTACTCCACATAATTTGCGAAGTTTCGGTCATTGGAACCTTCCAATAATTGATTTACCGGTCCCAAAGTAGTAAATTCAGTCGGACAAATAGATATGATTTACTGGGAATAAGAAGCACAATTATTTGGAAAGTCTGCACTTACTTGCCACTAAAACCTCTGCTTTTTTTAAAAAATCGATTTTTTCCCTTGGTTGAATCTAGCTTGTAAATGGATCTTTTTGAATGGAAAATAATCTGCTATCTTTTGAAGCGCGCCGTTGCCATGCTGTGACAAATTTGCTTAACTGAAAGTGTATTTAAAAAAAAAAAAAAAAAAAACGCGTGATAGTTTTTCGCATGGTTTAACTTCTTTTCTACAGTAAAGAGGCAAAGGATAGGTCCGGCGGGCCTCAATATTAAACCGAAACCTCGTAAACATGCAAGACCTAAAGTCTTTATCAATCCAAAGATTCAGCCTCGCGAAATTCACCGAGCCGTGGTACGTATTATGAAGATGCACTAATGAGGTGTGTTCTGTAATGAAACGCGATGTTTCATCATAAAATTTCCGTAGTGTAATGCGGACATCCTCTGAGCGAGGCAAGTTTGGTTACGTACAATCCGTCCTTGTATACGGGTATCGCTGGCGCAATTTTCCATTCGAAATTAATGATTCTTAAATTGAGTCATTGTGAGGTTTTCAATTGTTCAATCGGTAGTTCTCAATATCACAAACACACTTACTTTTGTCGATTTTTAGGTGCACGTGTCAGTTGGACCACATATTGCGATAGGGAGCTATCATTTTTAACTCTTTATTATAAACACCATTTGTGCAACTATCTTCTCTATGTAGATACGTGTTTTTATGGACGAATGAGAAAAAGTGGCTCCTCGTTGCAAAATTAAATCCAATTAACCACTTGCCGGGGGAAACATTGCTGCTGTTTCCATTTATCTGAATGTTAGGTCGGATTATTAGACGAATATGTACATTTCGGGGTCGCTTAAACTCTTGTTTTTTAGCATTTATATGAGAAAAGGCCCAATTAAAGTTGATTTTCTCTAAACTCATGTGGTCAATTATTATTCAATCAAAATACTGCTTACCTAATTTCGTTCTGTAATCGTATTGCTTGGATTAACTTTAATGCAAGGAAAGAAGAGGCTTGTTCGATATTTAAAATGAATTTAAATGAAAAATAAAAAAAAATCTCCTTCCTCTTTGTTTTTCTCCTAAGACACGTGTCTCTATCCACCAATCCTCGAGTAATGAAAATTTTCCGTTGAAGATCATTCTAAGTATTACTTGGACCCAATTATGTATTAAGGAACGCGGAGCATAACCACCTTCACAGTTTTCATCGATTCTTCTACGAAATTTTGCCAAGAAATCATTTGCATCATCCCCTATAAATATGAGAGACATACAACAATATTGTTTGAAAAGACCGTCACTAGGATCGGACAAAGATCCTAAAGATCCTGCAGATCCTGAAAATATCACATTCAGCGATGCCCCTCTGAAACCTTTTGCAACCTTTTGCAAATGTATTTTTATATTTTAAATTTGAATAGTCGACGTTAGTACTTGTTACTTGAACGAAAAAAAAAAAAAATGTGTAAAATGTGTAGGTAAATTGCAGATTCAACACAATCTTCCGAGTGTCGCTCATAGATTGAAAAACTTTCAAAAAATAATAACTAAATAAACTTATTTCAGAACCTACTCTGACTACTCTGCTGTGCTAAGAAAGAAGGACTTATGAGCAGTCGAGAGTTGCCAAATTTCACTATATAAAACATATACTTTTAAGGAAAGTTGTGCATGTTCTTTCCTAAAATTTTAAGATGTTATAGAGTAAATTTCGAATAAAATTGTCTGAAAATTTTGAAGAAAAATATTCTCAATTTTCTACGAAAATTTGTCTTTAAAAGAAACATGGCTACGTTTGAGGGCTCACTCAGCGTTCTCCCTTAGTACGGCAGTATTCTTCTCTTCAAGAGGAAAAATCCAAAACTAAGTAACGAAAAAAAAATTTAGAAAATCGGTACCAAGTTCACCATTAAGTAGCATTAATAAACTTTTAAACCTCGAAGAAACACAATGCCGATTACAATATCCTGTCTCATAGCCCGCACTCTTTCGTTTGCTATGAGAAGGAGACTCTTTAAGCGGACTTCGCGTAGTTATCCTGAACCATGTTCAACTGAAAAAAAAATGAACGTTTCAGTCCAGGAACATAAGTGTCAACATTTACTTCACCTGCAAATCTGATCATGTTGAAGTATAGCAGAATGCACCCTTAATCTGCCATTAACCAGCGTTGAAGCTCAGCCGAGCACGGCGCAGCTAAGATGCGCCTTCAATTATGCCGCTATTCTTTTTCACCACATGGGAGTTAATTAAGTTGTATCCTATCTAACGTTATTAAAGCATTAAAGCTGCGCTCCAAGTGCAGTAAGAGACAATGATGTTTTCAACGTAATTGAACGTGAGCCCTCATTTTCACTTTTTTTTCGCCTCCCCTCCACTCCTCGTCAACAATGACAGACGCATCGTTATGTAAGTTTCATCTCTTCAAAAGGTATTTTGGCAGCGCTAAATCGTGAAGCTCGTTGAATTCCTTTGACTCGTACATTGGATACCGTTAAACGTTAAATATGCAGACCTGTCACTCCTGAAATGAATTTAAATCATCGACTTGGCTTAAATCTCGACTCCATACTCTGCCTGTAAATCCGAATGTCACGACTCTTCTAAATACATTTCGAGAGTGATACAGCCATTTAAATGGAAACATGCTTACTATCATTAAAACGTGAGATAATCAATCAAACTGTAGAACTCCTGGAGGCGCAATGAGAAGTATTTCAAATGAACCAAATTTCAAAAATCACAATTTAAAGTAGCAACGGCAAGTTTGCTTGGTATTACCTGTCGATTATGGCAGACTCATTTTTCATTTTTGTCAAGATGCATCTCAAGTTCCTCACAATTGCTCGCGCTTGGCCGATTAATGACCCTCTATTGATAGCTTGCCTTTGATCGATCAATCTCGATTGATAAATTACATTGAAAGATGGAGCCTAATGGATCGAAGCCATTCGGAAAATACGTCTAACAATCTTGTCAGGTCATTTATCGGAGAGAAAAGGTACTCTAAACGATTTCAGGTAGTGTTAGGATTGTCCGAACTTACCTTCAATTAAATGGGAATCTGGTAGTTATGAAAACCTCTTTTAGGTTTTGAAAGTTATTTCAATATTTGGAGAACATTTCTAAATGCAAGGCTTAAAATGCAAGGGTGTTGATGCAATTTTAGCAACACCGAAAAGCAGTCGATGATTTAAACCGCCATATCTCATTTTAATTTGAGATAAATCATTTTAGGTTAAACTATATGAAAAATCGAGATCAAACATGCTTCCATCAACATAAGCATTTTGATCTTACATGCGTCATTCAACGGTTTAATTCGGTCAGAATATACCTACCCTACATTTGTAATCGTCTGTTGACATTTAACTGTTCTGACTGCAGTGCATCGAAAAGAAAAAGTAATATCATTAAATTGGGGGAGGTGCAAGGCGTATTTTAAGCTTCATTAATCACACGATTAAGAAACAACATCTTGAACGTGAAATTAAGCATCAAACTTTATCTCTGACATTGAGTTTTCCGGCGGATCAACACTTCAAACCTCTTTCTCAGTTCAATTTTAACGCGATTCGGTTATTTTTTCTGTCGAGCTCAGTCAAATTGATATTTATTCACTGGAAAAAAACACATTGGATCTAGAGTCCAGACTCTTAAAAACATCGACAAGAAAAAATACACTTGATTCAATCGGATTTTTGCTTAAATCAAGAACCAAGCCTCTTAATTTGAGCGGACTTCCTTTTGATTTAAGCTTAAATCTGGTTGAATCAAGAGTATTTTTTCTTGTCGATGTTTTTAAGAGTTTGGACTCTAGATCCAATGTGTTTTTTTTCCAGTGCGTATGTACCTTCAAGCTAAGAGTTTTTCCATGTTCATGTGCTTACTCGACCAGTAAACTAATAAAACTGTTTCCTTTTCGTCTGTTACAGCTCGACGCAAAGAAGAGCCCCCTCGCGCTGCTGGCCCAAACATGCAGCCAAATCGGCGCCGACTCCCCGAGCAAGCCGCTCATCTCACCCCTGGACAAAATCTCCAAGAAGATCTCTAGCAACTCGGAGCGCGGCACCGTCTCCCCCGGCAACAACAACAACGCCAACACGAACAACTACAACGTCAAGCCGACCGAGCACCACAAGGAGTCGAAAGTAGCCTTCAAGCCTTACGAGAACAACATCGTCTCCAAGAAGAACGAGCCCCCTCGCCCGGCGTCCAAGAGCGGGTCCGTCGACAGCTACGAGGATCGCCGCTCGGAGAGCCGCTCCTCCAGCCGCAAGTCGGTGTCCCCGCAGACGCAACACCACCCCTCGGAAGTCAAAAGCTCCGAGTCCCGGAAGTCAGCATCGCCGGCGACCAGCGGAAGTGGCGCCTCGCCCATCATCCGCTCTGGCCTCGAAGTCCTCCAAGGTCACCACTCCAAAGACCTCGGCCTCCCCGGCTTCAAGCCACCCCTAGGCGTCAACCCCTTGTGTTGTCCTCCCGAACTTGACCCAACTAACCCCGCCTTCCGCCCTCCCTTCGCCGGCGGTCCCTTCTCGCCACACCACGCTGCCATGCTCGCCGCCAGTGGATTCTCCGCCAACCCGAGCCCTTACCTTAGCTACGCCCGAGTCAAAACCCCCGCTGGAGGTGAAGCCCTAGTGCCCGTCTGCAAGGACCCCTACTGCACCGGGTGTCAACTCTCCCTAGGACACAACCCCTTGGCTGGACCCTGTCCCAGTGGGTGCACGCAGTGCGATCACCAGAAGTACAACCTGGCCGCCGCGGCTGCTCTTTCGATGGTGTCGCCTCCTCACCCGCTAGCCTACCAATTAGGAAGACCCTACGTCTGCAGTTGGATAGTCGGTGATAATTACTGTGGTAAGAGGTTCGGTACGTCGGACGAGTTACTCCAGCACCTTAGGACCCATACGTCTTCAGCAGAGTCTTCAACGCTTATGAACTCGATGAGGTACCCACCCTCACCGGTTAGTCCTCTATCTGCCGCGGCTGCGAGGTATCACCCCTATTCAAAACCCGGACTTCCTCCAACTTCATCCCCCTTTAGTGCTTTCAATCCCACGCTCGGACCTTATTACTCACCGTACGCTCTCTATGGCCAGCGCCTCGGAGCTGCTGTTCACCCCTAAGTGACGTCGAAGAAAGTCAAAATATCTTTTCGTGCTGTGATAACCCTTTCTTTGCAATATTGTTTCGCGAGCTCCTCGAGACTCGAAAGAGTTGTTCCGCGGATTATCGCGGGAATATCGAGTGATTCTACCAAACCTATCGCGCTCGGCGATTTCTTCAAATGGACTATATGAAATTTATCTTTTAGTTTTCTTTTCACTTTATTTTCTTGATTCTTTTAGTTATTGTATTCGTTTATTTTAGTTTAAGTATTGTTCTGAATTTTGATTTGTTTCTCTCATGCTGCTCACTTTTGATTTTTTATGTTATATTTTAAATCGGAAACTGCTAAATTTCAAGTATTTCAGTCATTATGTTAATTTCGAATTAATAAATTATTCGTGAATATCAGTTTGTTTTATATTATTTGCTTCATACTTGAAAGAGTATCTCATTAGCAACTTGAAAAAGTTTACGAAGCACTCAATCTCAAATCACCATGCTTCAGAAAGTACTTATCCATTAAAGTCAAATCCTTTAAAGTCAACTTAGACTTATCACTTTAAAGCAAGCAAAATATCTCCATAAAGACACTGAGCAAACTGAAAAATTGTTTAGAAATTTTAACTTTCATCTGATGAGAAACAATAGGATCTCTGATTTTAAATTTTAAGTTTTACACTTGATTCTTGACAGATAGAACATTTTCTGAAGTGCTTATTTAACTTACAAGTTCTTAAAATCAATGCGTATTTGTCTTATTTTCTTTAGACATTGAACAATGAGGTGTCAATTTTACAAAATGTAATTTTGGATGAAACTTCTACTGTTTCTCTGAGATGTAAGTAAAACTTAGTTCATATTCTCTAACGAGACGAGACGAGACGAGACATTAAATTGCTCAAATACTTACAGTGGTATTCACCCAACTGAATAAGTTTGATAGATAATGCACAATGCAATCCTACAGCTGACAACTTTTCCCACACAAAAATTTCAAAGTTGAGTTTTAAGTATCATGAAAGTTGCGAAGTATGAGTATTTTGAGTGACATTTTGGAAATCATTCAGATAGTGGTGATTCTTTCGAATTAAAGCATAAAAATATGAAGTAAGAATATACTTATCAATTTTAAAGTACCAGTTGCATTTTTCAAGCCTTAGCCTTTTGCGCTTTCTCAATTCAAGTTAATTACTGTCTTGAGCAGGTTTCTAAAATGTGTCCGAAAATCCTTATACACCGGCCTATTGAATCATAGTTCTAGGATTTGCGCATCTGAATGAGCTGTAGTTTCATTCCACGTATTATGCAACATCATCTAACGGCCACTACTACTTACTTGCAGGATTTGATAAAATCTTGAATCAATGAAACACAAAATTGGAAAAAAAATCTCAGGTTTCTCATGTGACTTTAAAAGAACAGAAAGAAAATGATCAAAATTTGGTAAATAAACATTCTTTATTTTTATCCCAAGATACAGAACTCACACTATAATGAGAAGCTATCAATTTTTCAAACTTGGAAAGTTTTTTTTTTTTTTTTCAATTAGCTTCATGAGTCCAGTAAGAAATTTTAAGAATGCATCATTTATTTGAAACGGAGCTCACACAGAGAAAAAATATAAGTATTCATGCTGACAAAATGATCATATCATGAGAGCAATAGTTTTCTTAAGAAAATTTAGGTTCTTGAATAGCGAGCCTCAAAAAATATTCCGAGTTCGATAGTGTTACTTCTAATATTCGAGGCATGATTTTCAAGGAAATGAGCCTGGAATCTCTCAAGCTGTGACAAGCAAACTTCTTTGAGCCAATCAGCGAATCAATGTCTTCCAACTACTTTCCACGTCATAGATAAGTACCTTTATGCATTAGATCTGGGCTGAGCCAATTTTTTGCTAAACCTCCATTTCATTGCATTAGCAAATACGATTAGGCTTTGCATTAGTATGAGCGATGAGTATACAACTTCTTAGTACTCATTCCTTTTAAATAACGAAAACTAACCGATATTATTTTTAAACGTCATCTTTTTCATTTATTTTCGCAAGAAAAATTAGCATCACGTACAAAATTTGAAACCGTAGTGAATTTTTACAATATCTCAACTTAAACAAGAGTGTTCGTAAAGCGTAGTTTTTAAAAGAAATTCCAAGGTTGCAAAGTCAGAATAGACAGCTCGTTAGCTTCTCTGACAAGCCATCCTGAAATAATATCATAGAACCTGTGCATGCGGCGATTATAAATATTTTTAAGGAATCTAAAAACGTGAGCCAGGCGACAGGATGAGTGTAGGATCGAGGGATGAGGCCATAAATCTCATGATGGCAATGTGCATCTTCTATTCGCACCGAGCCTGGTCCAGCGTCCGGGTTCCGGGGTTCACATCCCGGTTAGGTTCCTGGATCTGGTTTCAAATCCACTGCCTCGCTAAAGAAAAACACCATATGAACACTAGACAGTTGCCAAATTTCCTCCGATAAAATGTTTATTTTTGAGGAAAGTTCTGCATATTTTCCCTTGAAATTTTTTTTGTAATGTAGGTTAAAGTGCGAGGTCAAATCAGTATAAAAATTGATACTGACTTACTCAACATTTTCCCGGTAAATTTATTTTGTAGTGAGGGAGCAATGGCAACGTCTGAAGGCTCATACGGTGTTCTTCCTGAGCACGGCATGGAAAGGAGAAGGGGCGTCTCTCCCGCTGCGCAACTTGGCAGCGGGGTCCGTCTGGAAGATAGATTGAGGCTTGACTTCCTGTCCGATGACAGGAGTGTTTTTTGCAACTCCCTATTATCCGCAGATGGTGGAGCGTATGATAATGGCCGTCAAAGCCGGGACCCCTCGCATCGCTCAAAGTGATTTACACCCGGAAACCTGGAACATAAAAGGAGGCTTAAGGTAATGAAAACTTACGAGCTCAAACCGAAAGTCTTTCATGGCGGCCGGGCCATTTGCTCGGGTAAATTGGGGTTCGCGCTCCTCTCTTCTGTTGGCGAGTTCATCGTGTCTCAGATCATTAATTAATATGACCTCTCGCGCTCCGAGCATAATGCTGCGTTTTTAAGAGTGTTTGTTTGGCGCAACGGACGGACGCAGCCCCCAGAAAAGTGCTTCCTTTCGCTCCCCCCCCCTTCCACTCTTCGCTGAGTCATGCGGAAAATAAATGTGCCAAAATTAAAAAAGGAAATGAATGGGTATTTTAAGATTTACTGCGCCTTACCTTACAGACATTTGCCCACAGCCACCCCTTCTCTCCGTTCTGCCGTGCTAAGGAAGGACGACGTATGAATATTTGAGAGTTGACAAATTTCCCTCTATAAAACATGTATTTTTGGGGACAGTGATAAGAGAGAGATGAGACACAATGGCCCGAATGCAGACAACAGTAAAAACACATCAAAATACAAAAAAAAAAAATGACGTCATTCATACACATTTGTTTCTGCAATTTTCGGATGTTTTAGATTGAATTGCGCACAAAATTGTCTGAACATTCTGGAAAAAAATATATATACTCACTATTTTCCCAGTAAATTCAGTTTTTATCCGAGGAATTTTGGCAACGCCTGGAGGCTCATACTGTGTTCTTCCTTAGCACGGTAGCATTATTCTCGGCCTCTCATTTCCAGGGGTAGAAAAAAAATGTGTAATGTCACATTGATGAGGTTTTATGAGGAGACAAAAATCTGGGAACACTGACATGGCGCGATAAGTCAGGGTCTACATAGGCTGTTGATGTCATGGAAAATGTTTCACTTCCGCACTTTAATTTTGAGAAGTAGACCGGAAAACATCCAAAATGCCAACTGCCATGCCGCAATTATCATAATTCGAGTATATACGCGGTTTTTACCATGCCTTTTAAGCAGTAAATATGCATCAAATGTCAAACAGCTGCCTTGATCTGTTTCTCAGGATTATAGCACTTACTGTGTTAAGGTCCGTATGGTATCATAAAAAAAAGCAGCCCCCATTTTAATTTTAGTAGTGACTCCTTCGTATCATCGTAGAAAGTTATTACAGGGGTACTTTACTGCGTAAGGAAAGAGGGGGCCCCGTAACGCGTGTATCGGATGGCAAAAAAGGGTATTGAATATGTGATTTTTTAAATTTTTTTTTATCCTCGAGGGGAAAATTTTGCTCTTAGCCTTGCTTACTCAATGTCAAAATCAATATTGCGAAATTGGCACGAGATAGAGCAACACCATCTGAAAGCAAAAAATAAATCTATAGCACTGATTCCTAGAATGGCGCATTAATTTGGGAGCGTACCAGGACCAGTCACTAATCCGGCTCCGGGTACTGCCGTGCTAAGGAAGAACGCCGTATGAACATTCGAGAGTCGCCAAATTTCCTTCAGTATAATGTTTATTTTTTAGGAAAGATGAAATTATTTTTCCTTGAAATTTTCAGGGACTATAGGTGAAATTGCGAACAAAATTATCCGAAAAATTGGAAGAAGAATATTCATAAGTTTACCGGGAAATTCGCGTTTTATCAAGGAAAATTTGGCAACGCCTGAAGGTTTGTACTGCGTTTTTCCTGAGGGCGGCAGGGTAGGACTAAAACCTACCCAAAATCTATATGATTCCATTTGCTCTACCACTCTAGTTTCGAGTAGTGAAGAGGTTTTTCCGTGAATGTATTCAACTTTGAAGCTCATTTACTTCGGTTACAATTTGTGTACCGACGGTGAAATTGCAGGAACGTGCGTATTTCCACTGTTCCGTTGCAGATTTCCTGCCAAATTTTACTTTATAGACGAACAAATTCTTAACACAGCTCCTTGAAAACTTCCATGGTCATTCGTCATTTAAATGGAGGTTCATTATGAGAAATGCAAGCAAAATAGCTTTGTTCTCTTTTGATAAAATAAAATAGAAGCCGATATTTTGAGACACCACAAACGAGAAACGCATCCTTGCAGTTTAACTTACTTTCAATACATACCTACGCCTGCATATGAAGGAGAAAAAAGGAGAAGGTACTTATTTCACAGAACAATTTCGATAATTTTAACGAAAACTGTTTGTGTGGTTTAGAAGAAAATGTCTTTTACATGCATGCATAGTTCTCTATATTTTCAATCAATATTTCCGAGTGTATATGTAGTTGCGTAGTGTACCTTCATTTGATACAAGTGCGACAAATCACCTTTCAGTTTAACGCAAAATATGATGAACCTTATGATAGGTACCTAAGTTACTTTACATCCACTTTACAAGTCACTTTACCAATGGATTGCATTTTGAAAAAAGAACCAAGAGTATCCCGATGTTGCTAGAACTGTGCAACTTACATTCTTTGCATTAAAATTACTGCAATCATGCGAAAAAATAAATTTACAAGGGTAATTTTTCTCTCGAATTTATAGTTTATTGGAAGTAAAGACCAAACTTGTTTAGAC